AGAACTGCTAAGGACCAGATGATTTTTATTATGTCCTGATATGTAAAACCATAGAACTCAATGAGGATGTACTTTCTTTTTCATACGACTGTATGTATTCATTTGTTTATGTGACTTATATCCTGCCTTTTACACAGGAGCTCAAGGTGGGGTACTATGAGTTCCTTCTTATTTTTCCCCACAAGAACCACCCTTGAAATAGATTGGATGAGAGGGAGTGACTGGCCCAAAGTCGGCCAATGAGCTTCTGTGGCTGAGAGTAATCTGGAACCTGCGTCTCCCTGCTGCTAGTCTAACACTTTAATCACTAAACTACACTGGTTCACACCTACCACTGGTATGGCTTCATACAGCAACCAATGTAGACATGGTGAACATGTTTTTATTTATGTTGGCATTTGATAGCTAATAATGAAAACTTTTCACTACTTGTGGCCATTTTTAATAAGTCTTATTTGTAACGGTCTGTGGGAATTTCCTTGAGAAACAGGAGGAGGAAGAGCCGCAGACAGGGCAATGGTAAGATAGGAGACACCTCAGCCCACAGAAAGAATGGCCGGGGGGGGGGAGTGGAACGTGTCTCAGAAGGGACCCTCCCTAGTTCCCTGGAAAGTGAAAGCAAGGGGGGGCGAGACTTTCAGACTTGCAAGATTCTGTTACTGCAACCTTTCAATAAAGGAAGTTTTAGCACTCATGGTATTAATTTCTTGTCCAGACTACGTCAAGGGGCTGACATCAACCTTGCAAGTCCACACAGATTGGGGCAGCCTCCAAATATTGTGAAATCAGTCAATCAATCAGATATATGCCTAGCACGACAAGTATACAGTGCTGCTGGAAGTAGTAGTAGTGCAGGTAGTCCTTGTTTAGTGACCACAATTGAGACTGGCAACTTGGTTAAATGAAGCAGTTGCTAAGTGAAACTGTGACTGTGTTTATGATCTTATATCAGCCTTCCTTTGCTTTACAGACCTGTGAAGGTTATAAATACAGGCATTGGTTGTAAAGTTACTTTTTCATCACCATCGTAACTGCAAATGGTCGCTGTCCGAGGCAGCTGCTAAACAAGAACTACTAGTAATAAAAATAGTAATCTGATGGGTAAACAGCCAGCATTGCATCTAGGTGGACAGGCAAAGCCACTTCAGAATTCAAAAAGCTGGTATATCTTTTTCTGGATAAAACAAACCTGGCCATATCAAAAGCCAGTTACTTTATTTTAATACATTTCTATGTATATTTTTTGAGGTTGGAAGCCCACCTTGGAGGGACACCTTGGCCAAGAAAATCAGCCCAAAATCACACCACAAATACTATGACATAAGAATTAACTCTTATATAGTTACCATGAATCCAGACAGGAAATGCTGACTGCACTTAAGATTAAAGCCCACAAACCTTAATAAAAAGTAAAGGCTGATCTTATGGGACATATGTACTACATTCTAAGATTAGTGGGGCAGGGGAAAAAATGGGGTTCTCCTGATGTTGCTAACAAGTGGCTGTGTTGGTTGACGCTACACAGAACCCCCACAACATCTGGATGGCCACCACAACCTGATTCACCCCCATGGTCAGCCATTTGGTCTTTATCTTCAAGCCAATGTCAATATGCGTTGTTTCCTGAAAGCACGTGTGAGCCAAAAGATCAGTAGCAGCCTCATAAGACACAATAAGCAAGAGATCAAAGCTGTATGCAGTGCAAGGACAGGCAGCTTGCAGGTGTTTTGGACAACTCCCACAACTGTTCGACATTGTCTGTGCTGAGGTTGATGGGAGTTGCAGTCCAAGACATCTGGAGGGCATTAGGGCAACCGTTCTGCCCAATATAATTACTCTTGCCTCCAGTACATAGTTAGGAATATTTTCCATGGAAAGAAGAGGGTGGCTCAACTCTCACATTGCCCAATAAGTAAAGAATGGTGGTGGAGGAGATAAAAAATCAGACTTCAGACCTGGAGAAACTAGGGTCAAAATCTCCTGCGTGGCATCTTTTTTTGCTTTATCAGTTTCAAAGGTCTGTTGTGACCTAAAGTGAGGCTAACTCTCATATAAATCCATATAACCTTAAGTTATACAAGAAGAATAAAATGTATATTATTCTATTTTTAGCCAAAACCCAAAGAGAATCGGGGAGTTCTGAGCCAACCTTTGTCACCCACTTGGGCTTTCACCCATTCCATTGCTTTGTTCACGCTTTCTGTGTTGTTGACATCTAGGAGGATGGTCTGCAACCGTTCTGATGTGGCCTCCTTCAGCTTCTCTGCTCCCTGCTGGCTCAGGCAACCTGCCAAGACCCGAAGGCCTTTTACATCCAACTGCTTAGCCAAGAGATTGCCAAAGCCAGAGTCACAGCCAGTTATGAAGACATATTTCTCTGTCAGGTTTGTCAAAATCTGCTTCTCACGGTACCAACGGAGCAGGAAATAGAAGCCCAGCAAGGCCACCACATAAAATAACCACATGGTCTTCTAATGTTTCTGTGGCTAGAAGAGAAGAATGTTATTGGAAAATGTTTGATTATCAATGGAGTGGAGGGAGAAGAGGAGAAAATAACAACTAGTTTCACAGATTGTGGTTTAATCAATAAACCATTATTTATTGAATAAACCACAACTCCTTGGGTTCACACAAGCTAAACTATAACCTATGTTTTATAAACCATAATGGCTAAGAGTTCTCGCTCTACCATGAGCAAACCAACTTAACAATGACTGATTTAGTGCAATTAACTTTCTTTGCCAGTCTGTCAAAGTCCTTGCATAGAAGAGCAGGCTGAGCTACAGGTTCAAAACCCCCAGTTGAAAGGTGACATTTGGCCATGAATACACAAACTGGATTTCAACAAGGGACTCATTCTTTGCTGAATTACATTGCTTTCTGTTACAGATTACAGTAAAGACCATAACAACATTGCTATTATATTAGTAACCTACTTTAAAAAAAAAAAAAGCTTGAGAGATTATGCGTGAATCTCTTCACACACACACACACCACTCCTTTCACCATTTTATCCCAGTGGCTGCTCTGTGAAGTCAGTGAGGCTGAGAAAGGTGATTGACCCAAAGCCATTCAATCAGCCTCAGGCCTAAATCAGGCTTTGAACCTGGGTCTTCTCAATTTAGGTCCAGCACTTGTTTTCAGTATCAAGTCTTAAATAATTATAGTTTTATTATAGCATAGTAAGTATAGTATTACTATAAGCATAGCTTAGAAGATTTTTGGGATGCAGTAAACTTCAGCAGGCTTTGCCCGTCTCAGGGATACCAAATGCTGTACATTACTATCCAAACCAAGAGACAGCTGTCATTCAATTACCTTGTCTGGCATTCTGCATAAATCTACCATATAACAATAGCCATTTAATGACAAATATTCCTATTAACATAGGAGTTAATAGCATGTCACTCTTCTCTCCGAGGGAGAAGTAGGACACAGTTCTGTTTGTAATTTGCATGCTAGCTGAACTCCACCATTCATTTCTAAGTGGGTCAGCTCCGATCATGCAACATTGTGTTGTTTTATTCTCCTTGAAACCCTGAGAAAACAATGACACTATGTTTGCAAACCCGAGCACCAGTTGCATGGCCATTACATGGCCATACAGTATCCCAATTCTAGGAAGGGATACACTTTCTTGAGATATCCAAGCTTCTAACTCCTCAAAGAGGACAACTGGCAATCAGACTTTTTTGTATATGCGTGCCTCTGAGTTGTGACTCCTAGCAACTGGCTGAACAAGTCCCTGCAGTTTTCTTGGCAAGATTCCCTTCCCTTGCCTCCTTCCTAGGGCTGAGAGCGAGGGCGAGTCCCAAGGTCTTGTGGCTAAGGTGGGACTAGAACCATAGTTTCTAGCCTGCTACCTTTAACCACTCCACCAGTTCAGAACCTCAGAGGATCTGCCAGACACTGACAGGATTAATATCACCTTTTGCAACATAATGCCCTCCGGGGCACTGAACTGCAATCTCTGTCCTTCCCTGGCAAATCAAGGAAGGCTGGCTTAAAGTATGAAGTCAACGGTTTTCCCAGATTTATTATCTCCGCATTTAACAAATACTTAATTTAAACTGAGTTGGATGGCTTGGCGGTCTAAGCCCAGGGGAGCTCAACCTGGCATATGGTGGTTCCCGCCATTCCTATTTTATCTTCACGAGCTGAGAGAGAGTATCTGAGCGTCATGCTACGAGAAAGAAATCAGGCGGAGGAAAGAAAGGCTGGTTGTAAAACAAACCTCTTAGAGTTACAAAACAAAACGCTGACTTAAGGCAAATCCTCTCAGCCTACTCTACTTTGAAAATAGACGCCCAGTTCAATTTTACGAAAACAGAGCTCTTCTCGCCATTTCATCTTAGCTAAAAAGAGGCAAGCCGACAGAACACCCAGAAAGACGACGTCGTTTAAATCCCCGTAAACCCCATAAAAAAAAACCACACAAATCCTACCTCTCAGACTTCCCCGCAGCCACACAAGCCCTTCCGCACCCCGATCGTCTAATTTTCTTTCCCTGCCTTGTTTTCGTTGAAACTAGGTGGGGTTTACTGGACTCAAAGCCCGCCCACTCAACTGAAAAGGCAGGCAGAAATCGACGGGAAAATACCGGTTGGGAAGGCTTGTGTGTGCCTAAGTGTTAGAAAACGTACTCATGAGAGTGGGAAGACGGGCGGTACAACAGCGATTTGGCTGCAGGATGGACGGAACCCTTGTGTAGAATTACAGTAGCGAAGAAGTAGATGATTAATTCTTTACCCGGCCCGTGGAGGAAATACAGTATCGATGGAGGCGAATATGTGTCACCCAGGGTTGAACGGTGGAGTCCTTAAATGAAACGTTTGCAAGAAAAGAACCAAGCTCCGAGAACCCCAAGGACTCCACAGAAATACAGTATCTGTGGCTGGCATGTTGGCAACTGCCAATTTAGGCTCTTTACCTCTGCCAAGTGCTCCAACACAATTGTGAGACAGGATGAGCCGAGTGGGTCAAGAATCTCCCAAGGCAGCAATATGCTGCTGTTACTGAAGAGGTCTTCACCCCTTTAAAACATTGTGGGACAACCTTGCCCTGGCCCTCCATGGTGTCCCTCTTCTTTGACGTCATCTCATCCTTAGCCCACAAGTGAGACCGCTTTAAGTTGGTATTAGCTGCCCTTGGGTTAAAGTTGAGTTTTCCCTCTAGTTTCAATACTGTCCCAGAGCATAAAATCCCCAATTCTGTCTTGGGGAGAAGGCAGGTTCTGGGCCTGACTGGGCTGTTTGTGTATTGCGAGCTGTGTTTGTGGAGCCCTGATGGATTAGGAATTTCCTGTGTGGCTCTTGCCTGTTCTGGTTTGATTAGATACATGACTACAGATACATGACTAGTTAAAAGTTGAACTATAGTACCCTGCGCCTCATTATAATAGTAAAACAGCCCCCCCCGGAGTAAACATGAGATGCTAATGAGCCCCCCTCATGGCTTATTATGGGGTACATAGTTGTAGTACACATGTACATGATATAATTCACCCATGGATTAGTTTTAGCCAATAAGAATTGTGATGAATGTTAACCTGCTTAGTGAAACATATAAAAACCTTGGGACAACACCCCTTTGGGCGCTCAGTGTGGATTTTGGTCCTGAGTGGGCCTCTTTGCTTCTGTACAGGAATGAAGGGTGAAAGCCTTCCCTCTACTCTGTAATTTGGCCATCTCTCGCACTAGGTAAAAATGTGCCCCAATCAGTTGGTCACCCTGTGGCCAACAGTTTTTGGCAGCCACGAAGGGACTTCTGCCTGGTTCTGGTTTAATTGTCCAGGCTGAACCGGACCCAAAGGTGAGAGTCAATTAAGAGGGAAGGTTGGTAGGAAAATCTCCTCCTGATCCTTAAGAAACATCGTAACTGCTGAAAAAAGACACACTTGGTGAGTAAAGGCTTTTAATTACCCCATGGAAATCCTCTTGACATTTATCAGACCAAGGGCAAGGGAAAACCCCGGGTTTGGTAGGGAGGCGGGTTTGGTAGGGAGGCGGTGATGGAAAGCCGGAGGCCCCTATTGATCCCTGATAGAAAAGGGATGCAAATTGAAGGTGTGGGTTCTGGCCAGAGTAAAAATAAGAATGGAATAGGAATGGAATGCCTTTAGGGTGTGTCTTGAAAAATTTTTAGGGGGTTGAGCAGCAGAGATCCCCTGACAAAATCAAAGTTGATTTTTTGTGTGTGTGAAAATGTGTGGCCACAGTATCAATTAGAGGACCAAATAAAATGGCCATTGGAAGGAAGTTTGGACTATAATAACATTTTGCAACTAATGAAACTGAGAGCTCTGAAAACAACTGCCTGCGGGGATTGTGAAATCTTTTTCTTTTTCTGGGTGGGTTTTGTGTGTGTGTGGATATGTTTGTGGTTGGTCCATGTTCAGCTCAACCCTTCCCTTGGGGAAGTAGTTTCCAGAGGCACCAACTTTTGAGTGAGACTATTTTGCAATTGCAGTTGTTCTGTTGATGAATTAGTTAGTGGGATGAATGTATGTATGTTAAAATGTTTATTATGTCTTGTGGAGAAAGAAAGGGATGATGCAAAATGTAAATTGATTGTACAACTAAAAGGCAAAAAAGGTTTGCCTGAGGTTAGGGGGGAAAAAAGGGGGGGGAGCAAGGAACCTATAGTCAGCCTAGCTGACAAACATCTTGTAAATCCTCCACCACAGATGATCCATCACTGACAAATAGGAGGCTGAGGGAAAAGGCGAAGGGGAATGAGTGAATGTATTCCTTTCTCACCTCCCCACTAATGAAACCAACAGCTTGAGACATGATGCTTTTAAGACAGGCCTCCCTCTTCCACTGGGGACAGCCATTTAGCATTTTTGTTCAGTTTTATGAGATGAAGATCCTGAGATTTTTTTTGGAGCAAAGAGGGATATCAGAAAGTGTTTTGAAGGAAAGAGAGAGGAAAATCCCAATTGATGTCAATGGATGGTAATGAATACAAATGATTTAGAAAGGGAGGCTGGGGGACCACAGCTCCCCTGCCCCATACCCCTGATTGGAAAGAAAGAGGAGGTGAATTGTTATTTTTTGAATGGGCCTGGATGCCCATTGCTTGGGAGAGATTTGTTATGCAAAATAAGAGTAGAAATCTGAGTTCAAAGTCATTTTGATGGGGAAAAAAAAGAGGAGCGGAGAATGCCAGCAAGCTTCTCCTTCTTGTTTTTTTGAAGAGATGGAATCACTGTCTGGCTAGAAACAAAATGAGGTTTGGAACAGGTATTTGGACTGCCAATCTAAGCACAGTTCATGAGATGGTCATCTCCCCCCCTCCACCTCTCACTGGCTTGCAACTCATTAAAATTTCAGGAATTTCCACCTCCTGCTCCACTGATTTGTTTTTGTCTTTGAATGGGGAAATCCTAACAACAGCCTACTCTGTTTGGAAGCCTGAGGGTTTGTATGGAAGGGTGGTTCAACTTGAGCATATACAAAGCACACCATTTCCCTGATGACTTTCTTGGGACAAGCCTTAGCTCAGATTCCCACACCCAGACGCCAATTGCAAGATGCAATTGTTATCTTTGTGGGCTACCCAGGGAAAAGACTCAGACTCCTCTGAATGTGTGCCAGATTGTAGCACAGACTTTGAGCAGTTTGAACACAAGCTCTTGCCAGCCCCCTCCCCAACCTGGAGAAGAACTTTATCTGCATTACCAAGGAGGACGCAGCAGGACCTAGTCTTTTTGTTAAAGAAGCTGAGAAATTAATTTGGGTCAGCCTTTAAGCCACCCTCATTTTTGAACAAGAAGATAGTCACAGGATGACACCAAGTTGGATTGCATTTTATTTTAGTGGTGGCAGCTGCAGTGTGATTCACAGAAGCAGCAACCCAGACCATGTCACTCAGTGGGAAAAAGTAAACAAACAAACAAACACCCCCCCCCCAAAAATCTAACCCTTTGCCCCTAGGAGCCTTTGCCCAGAGGACGGAACTTCTGGCTTCGATCCAAGCTCTCCAGTTGGTGGATGATAAAACTGTTACATTAATTTTAAATATGTTTTTGGATGTTTGTATGCGCATGGGGCATTGTGGAAAAAGCAAGGACTGTTCACAGCAACCGGAACTGAAATCAAATAAACCCCAAGCATATTAATTTTGTTGTGAGTTGTACACTTTCTTATACAGATGATTGGTGTACACTGCAAAGCCCATCAAAAGAAACAGATCCTATTTCCAGAAGGCACCAAAGAGCAGATGAGCGGATACGGCTGTGACAGCAGAACAGCCGCCCTAATGGGTTTTAGAAGAAAGATGCCACCTTACTGGAGCTCCCTTAACTTTAGGTTGGGGGGCATCTGGAGATGAGGATGGTCCTTGGATTGTGCTCTAATGAGAGACTGTGCCCAGAACATGCCTCCCTCAAGCTATTAGTGACTTTTATCAATCCACTTCCCCTTGGTGTCAATCAACTGTTAGCTGAAGCTGAGCAAGTTGCTGTGTGTGTTTTGTGCTCAGAATAACCTTAAAATTGTTAGAAAGGCACCCCCTGGAGCCCAGTCTGGAGGATCAGGACCTGGAGAGGTGGAGCAAGTGGACATTGGGGTCAGATAATGGCCCAGGACTTTGGTTTATATTTTTTTATTTATATTTTTTTATTTATATTTTTTTATTTATATTTTTTAAGTGGACAAGAAGTTGCTCCCCTTCTGGAGCTTGTTAGTGGATGGGCTGAACACGCTAACCAGACCTGACAAAACACATTTGAATAAATGGCCAGATGTTTTGTTTTTAGACCTCTTTTAGCAAACAAAATCAGTCCCAGGGATGAGTTAGATTTTGTTTGGTAAAAGTTTTAGTGACCTCATCAGTGGCAAATGATATTTAAAAGTCTGTAACTGGAATTGAATTTCTGAAGCAGGATTTGGTTTCTTTGTACTCTGTGCATAATTTGGCCCTCTCTCGCACTGGGTAAAAATGTGCCCCAATCAGTTGGTCACCCTGTGGCCAACAAGGTGACTGGGAGCAGAGGCAATAGAGGCAGGACAGAGATTAGCAACAGGAACGGCAAATGTCATGCTGGTATTATTTCTGCCCGTTCAGTAATTGTTAATGGAGATCTAACAAAGCCTTGTGAGATACAAAAAGGAACAAGACAGGGATGCCTACTGTCTCCTCTCTTGTTTTGGTTCTTGAAATACTGAATAGAGATATAAGACAAGATGAAAGGATTTTGGGAGTAACAATTTAAAAAGAAACTTATAAATTAAGGGCTTTTGCAGATGACTCAGTGCTGGTTTTGGAAGATCCTTTAAAGGGAATTGAAACATTAATGGGAATCCTAAAAGGCCCTAAGGCAAAACAGTATTATTGTATAATACTGCATGAGTAGTATTGTGTAATGAACAACAATTGTGTATTCAGCTCAAATCACTGTGTATTTAACTTGAACTTTGCTACAATAGGCTCCGTTCCTAACTGGGTCATCTGTAACCCATGTGTTCTTAACCTGGGGACACCCTGTATGTATGTGAGAGAAAGAGTGTGTGTGTGTGTGTGTGTGTGTGTGTGATATATATA